TATTATGTAATTATAAAAACTGTACTTAGATCAAATTATAGATCTCTAGATGATTAAAATTTAACATCTGTTTCTGTTTTTCAGCTTGTGTACATATTTTCTGCGCATATTCCCTACACAAATTATGAATGAGCTTGAAATATTAATTCACGAGCAATAACTAGCTAAGATTTTAAATACAATTAATTAGTCACTGGCGTTTTGTTCTAATTAATAAAATTCAGATAAACGGTATTATTACTATTATTGAATGCCATTGTATAATATTAATTATACAAGTGTACATTAATTTACATAATTGCATGCAACAATTATAATTTATATCTCAATGGAACATTAAATTAAATTAAGAATGTATCACATTTGCCAATTTGCAATATATTTTTCTACAAGTGAAATATATACCAAATAGATGTACCATCTGTCGTAAACAGAATATTAATAGTCATTTAATGACAATTTATTTATACACATACCCTTGATGGCATGAGACGCAGTATTAATATTCTCTAATTACTTCTGAAATTACCTAACTTTATGTATCATTAATTTCATAACATCATTAAGCGACTATAAAATAAAAGCAGATAGAAACGAAACATTGCATCGTTAAAATGAACGGAATAATTTTCTTGTCGATTTTCTTCTCGGTGTTGACGTTGAATAACGCCGATATTCAACGAACAACGGTGATTCAGACAAACTCGGGACCTGTTCAAGGCGCCACATTGACTACAGTGTGGAATGACATCGAATATTCATCGTTCAAAGGCATCCCTTATGCCGCTCCACCAATTGGAAATCGTAGATTCAGGGTAAAAATTGCATTATTGTATAACGTGTGTCACATATTGATTAATTAAATATATAATATATATTCCAAATATATTATACTTTTCATTTAGTATTTACTTTTTTATTTTAATTATAAAAATTCCATATTGATGGAACTTATAAAAATAGATAAATTATTCAAAAATAAAAATAGTTTTTTTTCATAATTATTATACATTGCAATGTCTGATTTAAGATATAATAAAGATATTACAAAAGTTTTTGATATATTGGAAAATAACATTTAATAATTGACAAAGGAGTCTACGTTGCATACATTAGATATTATATTTTTTAAAAAATTTTTCAGTCAAATCAAATATCTATGCTATAGATGAGCAGCATAGTTTAATTTTTATTAAAGCCTCCTGTCCCACCAGAACCATGGAATGAAACTCTGGACGCCATTGAAGAGGCCAATGAATGTCCTCAAGAAGCATCGAACGTTTATAGTGGAAACGAAGATTGTTTGTATCTGAGCGTGTTCACTCCTCAGGTAACATTTTGTAAAAATTTCCTCGAACATCATGTCGAAAGTTCAAATTCAACGAACAAAATTCAAAAAAATTAGCAAAATCTTGACGTAAAGTTTGTATCGATCTCCGAGTAATTGTTAGTTCAATTTGAAAATTTATTTAGCAATTTCTTGTTCCGCAGACAAAATTCGACGAGAAATTAACTCTGAAACCGGTTATGGTTTGGATTTATGGTGGCTCATTCCTCGATGGGTCCAATAACGCGTCTGTCTACGGGCCTGACTTCTTCATGGAACAAGACGTAGTCTTGGTTACCTTCAATTATCGTCTCGGTGCTTTAGGTACAATCATTCTTTCATATAATCGTTTGACATCGTTCAGCATCCAAATTAATCCTTTTTTTTAACAGGATTTTTGTATCTGAAACATAGAAACGCGGCTGGCAATGCCGCAATGAGGGATCAGCTGATGGTTTTGGAATGGGTTCGCGACAATATCGTGGCATTTGGAGGCGATCCAAATCAAGTGACGCTTTTTGGACAAAGCGCTGGCAGCGCAAGCGTGAACTATCACGTTCTATCCGAGAAATCCCGTGGTACGTTGTAATCAATAGAAAACGTTCGATTTTTTAATTCTTTTATGATGCAGAATCAAGAAAGGTTATACACGATGCTTATTTAAATTTTGAAATATTTCATTATTCAATTCGAAAAATTTTTCTTTCATACACGTATCAATTTCGTTCACACGAAAATTTATTATTTATTATTTACAAAATGAACGACGGTAGCATTGAAATAATTTCAATTCGTTAAAATATACATTAAATAAATTCAAGAACAACGATAAATAAATTATTAATATAAATAACAAATTTAAAAACTACCTAATAATAATATTTTCATTAAACACACTTTATAACGAATCTATAACCCACTCAACTTATTATTTTTAATTTGCGATTCTGGTTAACAGGTCTATTCCATCAGGCTATTGAGCAAAGCGGGACAGCGACTTCGTATCTTTACAAGACGCAAGAATCAGCGTTTCAAACTGCTCATAAACTAGCCAACGAGCTTGGCTTCCACTCTAAAAATCCAAACGAATTGTTGAAGTTCTTCCTTGAAGCGGACGCGAAGGATCTCGTGGCAACGACCAAACGCGTTTTCCCGTTTGGTAGCGACGTAAGAGCGCCAATTATACTTCCAAATAATCATCGAATGAAATTTATTCGAATTTTTTTGCCACCAGTTCGCGGTACCGTTCGCGCCGATAAAGGAGAATCCTGATCTCGTCGATGATCCAAAGGACATGTTCCTGTCCGAGTGTCCAATAACCTTGGCCGCGTCTCAAAAATTCAACAAGATGCCTGTGATGCTGGGCTTCACCCACGACGAACTGTTAGATTTCTCGGACGGTACGAACGAACTCTTCTCTTTTTTTTTTCGAAAAATATTCAGTCTCGATTCGCTAATTATTTTTTAAGATTTGTAGATCTCTTTTTTCTTTTTTCTTTCTTTTTACAGGCTTGTATCGAATTATAAATAACACGGCTGACGCTTTGAAGGAGATGTTTAATTTGAAGCTGGATCTTCTAGGACCTTACGAAAGTGTTAAAGAATTGTCAGTGGTAATGTTTCTCACTTTGCGGCTGAAAATTTCGAAGCAGTAAGATACTTCGAACGAGAACATCGAGAATCGAATAAATTAAACTTGTTTATTTATTTATCATCGATCGAATTTGCTGAATGATAAAATATATATATATTGAATTGAGAAAACAACGAAAACTCGTATAATTTACAAAATCTACTTACTAAAGTAATCATTTTTATTTTCCAATTTAATGAACGAATATTTAAACATCTATTGATCTTTCTTCTATGTAGAAAATTTTTAACATTTTACAAATTGCTTTCATAACTGTTTGATAAAAGAGAATTTCTATCTCATGCAAAAAATATGACTGCTTTTGTACCATTTGTGCCATCTTTGATAAAATATTTGTATATTGCAGGTATTATCCGATTTTATTATGAAGGGACCAATCGATTTTGCTCAGAGATTGCTCGTTCATGGTGACGGCAATTATCCTGTTTATTATTATCAATTATCATACGTGTCCAATTATGCGATGCATACACAGGACGGTATACCTGAACCAGGTAGATATTTAAAAATAATAATAATAATGAAAATGAGCACATATCAATAATTGATATTTAATAATTGGTTGAGGTATCGCTCACTCTGATGACATTGGATTTCTTTTCAACGTGGAAAGATTGAACGCTCCTACAAATCCTCAGCATCCTTTCAATCAATTCCGACGAAAACTGGTCACTTTGTGGGCAAATTTTGCGAAATACGGGTATGTCGTCATTTATTGCATTGTTTTAATTCTTTTATACTTCAGTCTTGAATTCCAATTTTTTAAGAAAATTTGACGTACGTATAATAATTGGATATTGATTCGTTATTTAATTACTTACAAGTTAATGGATAATTATAAAGTATAAATTTTGATTTATCATCAACAGATTCAACCTAGAAATCAATTCAATCAAATTCAAGTAAACAAAATTCATAAAAATAAAAATTTTCATATTGTAAAATTTCAATTAATTAATAATTTAATAAATAAATTTTAATCAGCCTTTCTATACACCAACTTTACATCCATTTTGATCTTTGGAAGGGATCAAAACCTTCCAAAATATCCTTCATCAACACATCGGTATTCTATACGTATATCTGCGTTTTGAAAATTTATTCGTGCAAAATTTGTTAAAGTAACATTCGACGTTAAATAAGATATAAAAATTTTACAATTCTTACAAATTTTAGCACTTTGTTGATCTTTATCAATGATTTTTCATAAATCTTTATCTTTTGATATATATATATATATATAATATAGCGATATATTTCTGAATCACTATATTTCGTATTAATTTTCTTAATGCTCGTAGAAATCCAACTCCTGCTAACGAAAACCCGTTAAACAACGTAATCTGGGAACCCTCTGGAAAAGCTGGACGATTATTGGACATGGGTGACAATTTCAAAATGATAAATCGTAATCAGGCGATCAATCAAAGGGCGTTATTCACGGAGAAATATCTGTATTTCTCCATGCCTGTAACGAGCGATTGCAACGATGTTACTTACGCGAATTATTTCAGTCTTTTCTGAAATTTCTCTTAAGATTTTACTGCGTAATATATATAAATATAAATATATCTGCAAATTAAACAAGCGTTCAAATTAAACATTGCTCGATCATTATTGATAAAGAAAACAATTTTTATTATTAAATAACTTAAACTTCCTATCCTAATAAATAATTTTCTATTCACAGACTCGCCATTGCACGATTAAAATAAATTATATTAAATTGGGTTAAATTTTTCACACTTTTTAACTTCGAAGTGTCGAATCATCTCCTCCTCTGCCTATCGATTCGTTCGAATTTTTGTAATCGACACTCAACAATTCTGATGGTATCTGTGTCATCAAGTGTAATTCGAAGTGTATGTTATATATACACACAATGGCATAATATCAAATAAAATTCTGCCCACCGTGCAAAATTACAGTGCTGATTAAGTCAATCGATATTCAACTCGAACGCGTTCGTTTCAAGAAAGATAAAAGACAGTCAGCGCACGTCGTCCCTTCCGATTCCATTCCAACTCTCTCGAATATCTTTCAGAATGAACGATGCAGCTTGGTTTCTTCTCCTTCTTCTAATTTCATCGTTCTCATCGTGCGCGTGCGTGAGCTCTCCTAGGACGCCCGTTGTTCGCACACCGAACGGACCTGTTCGCGGTTTGATATCGCGCACGATATGGCACTCGATGAGGTATTCCTCGTTCAAGGGAATCCCTTATGCAAAACCACCACTCGGCGACTTGAGATTCAAGGTGAAATTCAAGATGGAATATTTTATTGAAAATTGAGGCGATATTATAAGTATATATTGAAAAAGTTTAAAGGTTTATTTTCGATGAAAGTTTCGACTATTCTGATTTTTTTTTTTATGGTTGGCAGCCTCCAGTTCCGATAGATCCTTGGAGAAAAGTGTTACACGCGTACGAGGAGGGAAGCGTGTGTCCCCAATGGGATTATTTATCGCTTGCCTACATGGGACGCGAGGATTGCTTGTTTTTGAACGTTTTTACTCGAGAGGTAAGTCATATATCCATCGAATAATAACTCTCAATAATATTTTGATACCGATCGAGCTTTCTGAATTTTCTTCTCATCAATTCGAGATTATATATAATACAATAACAGGTGGAATTCAAAAAACGGATAAATTTGAGGCCGGTTATGATTTGGATACACGGAGGTGGTTATTTCTCAGGGTACAGCAATTCGTCGTTGTACGGGCCTGACTTCTTTCTGGAGGAAGATGTCGTTTTAGTCAGTTTCAATTATCGACTGGGAGTCCTAGGTATATGTTTAGAGAAGCCTCGATCAGTTTCTTGTTATTAAATATTCAATTCTGTCCCATCAGGATTCTTGGCATTAAAACATCCTAATGCGACCGGCAACGCTGGCTTGAAAGATCAACGGTTGGTCTTTCAGTGGGTGCAAAATAACATAGCCGCGTTTGGAGGTGATCCAAATCAAGTAACGATCTTTGGGGAAAGTGCTGGTGGCACTTCCATCGGTTTCCACATGTTATCCGAACGGTCCAAAGGTATGAATTGAAATTTCTCTTTAATTCAATTTGATTGAAAAAGGTTAGAGAAATTACTATTATTACTCTTTTGAAATCATCTAAGTGAAAATGTATCGATTTTTATTTGAACATTGCAATACATTGTTGCCTTCATCAGTTATAAAAATTCAGCAATTCATGAACTCATCGATTCTGAAAGAAAGAAAAAGTTGGTATACAAAAACGTCTCGTGAATATATCAATCCAATAAAATAAATTAGGGAAGAAAGATTGTATTTGCTGATGAACCGAAAATAAATCTATAAAATTTGAATTAAAATTCGATAGATGTGTTTTATTGGATCGAAATTATTATTTTGAGTGAAATTCCAGCAATTTTCAATTGAATCAAAATTTAACACATTTTGCAAATACTTTCTATATTCAAAAGAGACTTTTATATTTAAAATAATAATTGATTTTGAAAAATTACTTTCTTATTCATTCTCACTTATTTTTTAATCACGATGTGCTTACAAATATTCGATATTCGAGAATTAAATAAACGTTTCACGAATCTTCGAACGCAATTGTATTTCCAGGATTATTCCTTCGATCGATTAGCATGAGCGGCAGCCCATTGTGTCCTTGGGCGTATCACTCGCCCGAACAGATGATCCAGAACGCTTATCAACTTGCAACCGTTCTCGAATACACTCCCAAGAACCACGACGATTTGCTGAATTACTTTCGCCAAGTACCTTTAATGGAACTTATACGCGCATCGACTAAAGTTGACATGGTAATTAATTCTTTCGAATAAAAATTAAACTCGTTTTGATTCCAAACGGATGCGAAATTCTCAAAAATTTCTATCCTCACGATTTTTCGTAGAATTTGCTTCCATTTCGACCGACCATAGAGGATCCCGATATCGATCCTTGCAATAGCACGGTGATAACGGAATGCCCCATAACGAGATATCACAACGGTGATTTGTATCGTCACGATATAATGCTGGGTTACACCCACGACGAAGTTTTCTTCTTTTTCGGTCGTAAGTAATTCCGAGAATTATTAACCAAACGTAACGAAAAATAATTATTTATTTCAAAGACGAAAAGATTATTATATTCGAGGATCGAATTTATACAATTTCTGAATATTTCCAGCACCGATCGGGGTGGCGAGCACGATCAATTGGGCGAAAAAATATCTACAAAACGCGGCTAAAGAGAACAAAGATATCGGTGAAGAGCCGCAAGCGTTGCTCGCTCGGGTGGTGAACGATCTCGTCAAAGCTGGTTCAAGCAGGCCAAGAAGGTAAACAATTTATATCTCGCCGTTTGTTCAAGCTAATAATTCTCTTCAGATTTTTGGAATGCTTTCTGGATTCACACAGATAGGGATGGATGTATTTTTCAGCGGCCCTATCGATTTGACTCAAAGATTGCTCGCGAAACACAATAAGGGCCATCCTGTTTATTATTATCGGTTGTCGTATCAATCCAAGTATGCTTTGCACAAAGTCAAGGACAATCCATTGAACGGTATGAACGTCAGGAAGAAGCTTCTTTTTTCATTCAGGATTTATTTTTTCTTTCTTTTCGTCATTTAAATGTTGTTTCAGGAACTGCACATTTTGACGACGTTGGATACATATTCAATCCAAAATTGCTTGGCGCGCCCACCAATCCTAAGAACAGTTTCAATCGATTTAGGAAGAAGATGGTTGCTTTGTGGGCTAACTTTGCTAAATATGGGTAAATAAGAGAAAAGGACGAGGGAAAAGAAATGAATGTATATAAAGAATATTTAATAACATGATGAAAAGAATTAGAACAATTTAAATTAAATGTTAGATTTTAAGAAGAAATATAAAATTGGAAAATCATCATTCTTTCCTCTATAATGTAATAAAATTTATTTTTTTAGAAATCCTACTCCAAAAAATTTTTCTTTCGACGTCAAGTGGATAAAATCTGGGAGCGAAGGTTTTCATCTGGACATTAATACCATGTCCACGATGCATAAACGATTGATTGACAAAAAAACTGAATACGTGGAGAAATTGCTTTACAAGTTATCCCCATTGATCACTTCTTGCGTGAAAAAGCCTAATTTTACAGATTTTACAGATCTCTTCTAATATCTAGTTTTATATTTTGATACTTAATAAAATTGAGAGAGGGGGGAGAAAATAAGATGTTTTTCTTATTATTGAATGTATATCATTTTAATTTTTCTATACTTTATCCAAATATTAAAATATTCTTCTGGATGTTGTTCACTGATTTTGTAATTATTAATTTGATTTTTCATCATTTTCTCAATTATATTTATTTAATGTCCTTGAATATTTTTATCGTGTGTAAAAATATGCTGATAGATTTTGTTGATAAATTCTGAATTCGTGAATCTTTATCTATATATATTATCTATAGATAAACGAAACTCCAGAATGTTTTATGACTAACAATATGCTTAATGACAATAAGTGTGTACTATTACCATTACCAATTGTAAATATTTGTAATATTCCAGTTGTAAATGTTAATTATTATAATCACTTTCGAATATTTTATACAAAAGCTTTATTAAAATAATACCAGAACACTGTGTATACGTATATTATTTATTTATTTATTAATATATGAAATAACAAAAATTCTATTTTAACAATAGAGATATACTAGAGAAATATTTAAACAGATAAGATAATATTATGTAACAATTCGTATTATCTTATTTGAAATTACATTATTAACAATGAAAAAAAAGTGCGACTTAAATTGTCTAAATAATTCAAATTAATGACACTTTCAAATAAAAAACTTTATGAAATAGAATGCAATCTTCCTTCTAATCTCTATTATCGCATATATACAGTTTAATTTTATCAAATCTTGTTGGCTCGATTATATTATTAATAATCTTTCCAATTAAACTTTCTTATCTTTGTGATTGAATTAATATTAATTAATAATTTTCTCAATATTTTTGAAAAGGCACTGAAAAACTTTTTTTATAAAAATTAGTATTTTATATTTTCAATTTCTTCTCTCTGTCTCTCTTCCTCTCTCTACTGCATGTACGAAATAATTACGTATACGTTTAACATGAAAACAAAAAACATCGAAGGAATTTTATAAATATCTTATCGGTAATTATTTAGCAAACAAGTACTTAGGTAGTTCGTTCGATCTTCGAAACAAACTATGTTGTGAAAAAACTAGTATCGCATCATTATACAGTCGCATATACATTGGCAATAAATTATAATAGTGAAACTCGTTTCGATCATGCCATTTCTTCCCTTGTGAAACAAACTTGATGCATTGAGGAACACGTTTCACGTGACTTTGTATTTGAAAGAGAGGACACGTCGATTGGACGAAATAATTTTTTATTATCATTATTATTATTAAAATACAATTTAATTTATGCAAATAGATAGTTGATATGAATTATTATTTTGCTTTAAATAATTTTACCCGAATAATAATATACTTGAAGGATATAAATTATTTTGATATTCGTGCTTTTTATTTGGCATTCAAGTATTTATTAATTAATTCTATTCTAGGTGAGTAAAAGATTTTTTATTGTAATGAAAAATATAATATGATGTTCAAGCGTTAAATATTAATATATGTTAAAAAACGTTAGTGTAAGAATTATAAATTTTTTTCGTTTCCAACGAAAGATAAAAAAAGCCTTAAAGTGTGGAGATTATGAAAAGAAGAATTTTCGTAACTCGAGGAAATGCGATGCAAATTGTACGTAGAGAAGAAAGTAAAAATAAATTTAATAATTCGAAAAGAAAAAGGATAAATCAGATCGAGTTAAAACCTGATATATTGTTTAAATTAAAATATCACGTTATCAAATTGACTTAGATGTTTTAGAGAAATATGGATTGTATCAAATAAACGTTTCAAATAAGACAGATAACTTTTCCAAGCAAATTAATTTCATACAGTATAAAATATGTATAAAATCTGAGATTAAAGAATCCCAAAGTGATATCAATGTTGACTAAAGAATTATAATATATGGATATTGTACGAAATTTTTTTAAAATTAAAATAATAAACTATTGGAATTTTCACTAATATAATTTATGATTTTTATTATTAATATTAATATATTAGATATTATATACGTATTAATAAAGAAATAAGAAAATATTGTGTAATAAAAATTAAACATTTTTCATATATTAATTTATCTCTATTTACATGTATATTATACGATCGCATTACGTTATTCAAATATCTTTTTCATATCATTCTTCCGATACGAATTTACTCAATTTTATGCTTCTGAGTCACTTCGTGTAATGACTAGTTAAAAAATTTTAAATTTCATACAATTTGTTTGGAAACTCGTAAAATTCATTATCTATTGCAATACTGTATGCATATTATTTCAATCAGAAAAATCAATACACCGAATCTCTCAAATATCCACTTAAAAATAAATTTCTATCCATTTTAGAAAAAGGAATCATTGCAAATAGTATTAGTATTCGTAATCAGAATGTCGTGTTCTTTCTCGTTCCTTGTAACCGACCATTGTGAAATCAAGAAGAAAAAGATGAGATAAGGAAAGAGACGGTTCCATAAATCGTGTCGAGACTCGACGCGTCAACAGAACGTTTCCTCGCCAAATTCTTCCTCTTGTTTAACGCCATGTCACCTCGGCTTTACCAACTGCGTGTCCTCGCCAACGAATCGTAACGAAATTAAACAGAAACCAGTGCTCGGGCAGAAGTGAAATGTTGCTGATGCTTGCTCCCTCAAGAACGCGATTTTAGTTCAGTTAACGGCGACAGATCGATCGTACGGTGCTCCATCCTTCCTAATACGCGGTTGTAATATTTCATTTCATTCTTAAATCAACGTTTTAATCCTTTCAATGCTTGAAAAAGGAAAAGAAAAATCGAAATCGTCGATGAAATTGATTAAAATAATTGATTTTATACATGCTTTTTTCAATTTTTATCGATAACTTTTGGAATTGGAGAACGAACGATAGATCGATGAGACGAGTTGACTCGTCTCGTTTTAAAGAGTTTAAGCTCATTTTCGTAATCGATAAGTGGAAAATTACGTGGATTAAGGAGAAAGAATAAGAAGCTTAAATCGTCGGTAAGCATCCGTTTTATATCGTTGATAAGCGACGTCTCGTTTTGTTTGAAAGTTTCACCTCGTTTCGGATCTTTACACCGTCATGCTTCGACACACTTTGGAACGCAGCGATCGACAACTCGTGATCGCGACAAAGAATGCGTGATGTAACGATTAACTCATCTCATGAATTATGGTTTTTTTTTTTTGAAAGAAATATCTTAATGTTGAATATTTTAATTTAAATGAGAATGTTCGCGTGCTCATAATTTCAAAAAAATTTGAAAATACATTATTTTTGGCGATAATTTTAGTGTTAAAGCAATTTTCTTTATAAATGACTTGAAAATTATAGTAAATTCAATCGATAGAAAATGAAACTGTGCTATAATTTTGTGTTACTTTAAATTTATAATATAGAAGTATTTATATATAATGTATAAAAAGTTATTTCAACTTATTAAAATCACTTATTAAAGTTTAAAATTACATGATACTAAAATTAGAGAATATAAAAATATAGAAAATTATTATTTTCTTAAATATAAATATATGAATTCATTAAAATAATTTGTATCATTTATTGCATCATTTACACACCATTATGATTCTTAATTTTGAAAATATTTGTAGAAAAAAGCAAATATATCAATGTAATGAAAAATTTTGATAATATCTTAATGATATGATATCCTTAACGAAGAATTATTTAACTTTTTATCGCAATCTTTGATGTAAAATATGAATTTTTAAGATAGTTGATGATAAGATAAAGTTTAATTGTTCATATAATTAATTTATGAAATATTTTTAAATCGAAATTTTGGGATCTGTATTGCTTGTAATTTCATAAAATATCATGATATCATCATTCGATTATCAAAAATTATTTATTGTATTGTTATTGTGAATATATTTACATAAGATTTAATCATTTTCTTCATTATGAATATTTATCAGGATATCTTTATATCTCCAAAAGAACTGAAATTCAGAAGACATTATAAATTTCGATTTAAAAAATATTTCATAAATAATTAATCATGTTATGTATTTTTCGAAAATCATTAATATTTAATATTTATTTCTTTTCTGAAACAAATTACAAGTGCACTGGTTTTTCATTTAATTTATTTCAATCTATTTCTATAATAAGATAATAAAAGATGACAAAATTTGATATGTTTTATTTTTACAATAGAGCAATTTTCAAATTTGTTCATTGTACAAAAAATTACAAAAATCTTTAAAAAATATTTTTAACTATGTAATAAATATGTGCTTTTTGACTAAAATTTAATTATATTACATATACAAAAGAAAAGATATATATACATATAAATTTTAATAAAAAACTGATATATAAAATTTTATCATCTATTTATTTGATATTCAAAAATAATTTTCAGAAATTATAACTTATAAAGAAAACTTTAATTAGTAAATTTTAAATATCTTATATATCTTATATATGAATTTGATATTTTATTATTTTTTATTTTTAATAGTTAATTATTAAATAATTAAAAAATAATAACAATAATTTGAACATTATAATTATTATACAATTACTTATCTTTTTTATTTCTTTAAAAAATCACAAAATAAATAAAAATAAATTTCATTAAAATATATATATATATAATATGAATTTCTTTTTAGATAACACAAAAATGAAAGATTATTCTACATACATTTATAATTTTATCAAATCATTTTATGATTTTTAAATTTTAATTATTGTTAAAAGTCTCATTATTATAAATGTAACTATGATGCAGCTGAAAGTGATTCTATATTGTAAAAATAAATTAAAAAAGAAAAAAAAATATAACTTTTTCATTTAAGATTTTGTTTTCAAATAAATTAAATATAAAAATTTTTTAATTTTTAATATAAGTGAAATTAACTCTTTCCCAATAGAATAGCAAATAAATTAAATTATTAAATTAAATTATTTTATATATGAAAATAAATAAAAATATATATATTTTTATTTAAATATTCAATTTTCTAAAAAATCGAATTTAAAAATTTGTCGATTATATAATTTTTTGTTTGTACGTTTTGATTTTTTAAAAAATATACAAAGACAAAGTTTCATTTTATAACCTTCTAATTTCAACGATCTTTCGATAGTTCATTCGTATGTCAATTAAGAATTAATCAATTTTATTTGGAAAATTCTCACACTTGAATTCAAAAACGAAGTTTCAAATAAAAAAATGTTCTTTTCTTCTTTCTTTTCTTTTTTTTTTTTTTTTAACTTATTCTACACATTCAAGAATAGTATCCATCTCAGTTGTGCCATCAGTTAAATGTACGGACATCTTGTATACAGATCAAAACTTTATCGAATCGCGTTCATCTCATTCATAACCATTATCCATAACTATCTTCTCTATCATTACACTCTATCATTATATTCGAACGCCCAACACTTGACTTCACATCGGCCACATGGCGAGAAACATCGCGAATACACTATAAATAGAATCATAAGGATTAAAACACACGATGACGCAATTCCATTTCATCAAACCTAGTTTCGTTCCAAGACAGAGGCATCAATTTCACTTTCTAACAAGCTTATTGCGACTCCGCTATTACATCGGCCCAATTAAACATCTTAATCGCTACCAAATCGTACTATCACAGTCGAATAACGCGTATCATCCATGGACTTGATATTCGTTTGCTTATATACACGTCTGCATACGCGAAAGACGGTTCTTAGTCCGATAGCCGGCACGTGACTGAATTCCAATGGAAAATGCACACGCGCCGAAGAGTGCGTTACTTATACGTCCGATACGTTAGTAAGCGATAGACAGTGCCACTGACTTATCATCGGTGCTTCCATTTTCTGCCGATCCGCGCTTTTTTCACTAGAATTCGTCGCGACGTTCGATCGTGCGTAACAACGATCTTTTATTAAATTCAAAGTGAACCGGTGCCAACTGGACTACGCTTCGATATCATCATGACAGGTCGTTTTTTACGGGATTTTATCGATATGTCATACTATTGTTTCGTTTGAAGCTTATTACCGACCGTGGAATTCAAATTAGAATCGAAAATTTTCGAAATATTCGAAATTCTTAAGAAATCTTAAAATCTTTTTTTAAATTGTTAAAGTTATTAAAGATTTTTAGTTTCGAAAAATTTTGTATTTTTAAATTCTTGAAATTTTTAATAATTCAATAGAGACTATTGATACTTTATCGATATGTTATTGATAATTTTCGATATATCGATAATATTAAAAATTGTATTTCTATTTTTTTATTGAAAATTAATAATAATTATTAAGACATTATAAAAATGTTATTTGTAATAAATTGTAAAATAAATAAAATTAAACTTTATCGAAAAAATATATTACAACTAACTTAAGTTACTTTTATTTATATTGTTAATATCTTAATGATATTTTGAATGAAAATTAAAATAGTTAAACGATATTAAAAATAAAATATGTTGAAAATATGTCAATCAATGAAATATTGCTTATTCATAAATAATCATTAATAATATCTTTAATAATAAATTTGAATAAGAAAAAATAGGGATTTTACATTACTTTTTTACTTTCATCTATTATCGATATCTTAATAATATTATCGATATATTAAATTATATTATATTTTCGATAAGAATATCGATAGTCTAGGGCAATAACATTCTTAAGAATAAAGAATATTGAAGAACAATTAGAACTTTTTTATATTTTGTATCTAAAAGAACTTTTTTAATTTTTAAACTAATAAGAATTAATCGAAAAGTATGAACTAACGAGAATTAATAATTGTCCAGACTAACAACAATTTTTTTAATTCTTAAATAAGAATTTTTTGAAACTTTAAATTTATCACAACTAAAACTTTATAGAATATCGTTAAATTGTTTAACTCTTAACTATTTGGTGTCTGAAATGAACTCTGTTAACTTCGAACAAACTTAGAATTCTCGAACGAATTTAGAATTCGTGGAACTTCATGAACTTGTACTTATTAAAATCTTTCAATTGACATATGAACTTTATGTTTGAATGTTTTAAATAGAATATTAGAATTTTGTAATAAATTATTATTTTTATTATTTTTAACGTAATATAAAAACAGGTTGGAGCTAATAATACACGTGCAACAATCTCTTTTCAATTTTCTTGATGATCATTAAATTATTATCATGCATTTATGGAAAATCCACAAAAATATATAAATAAATATATAAATAAATATATAATTATTATGAGTGATATGATAAATAGATAGTATTATATTTAATATTTACAAAATATTTGAAGATAGTAAAGTTAAATGTTACAATATTTATCAAGTGAATGAATCTTTCTTTTAATATAATTTTATTTACAAAAGTATAATTTGCATATTCCAATCATTCAATCAACTTTCCACCTTTAAAAATTTCCAAATACATCATAAATTAAACAAATTTTTACATATCGATGAAAAAGCTTATAAAATCTTAATTGAAAGTTTAATACAAAGGATACAAATAACATTTATTTTAAAATACATCAGAAAATTAATATTCAAATTTCATATTAAATAATTTTTATTCTTGATTATCAAATTCTTAATATATGGAACATTTAATCACGATTCAAACAACTTGGAATGTACTATAAAGTTTATATTCAAATTTTTGTACATCGATTAAAAAATTTTTCAACTATAATACGAAACAAATATTCACTAATTATTCGCGAATAAGAAAGTGCGAAAAGTCACGTGACGCGATTCGCATGCTGCAGATATCTATGTAATTTTAAGTAAACATAAAATCGACAAACATTTATATTGTGAATCTTCTTTACTTTGTCTCAATACGCTTGTTGAACACAATAATACGAATTATTTTTCTCAAATAATTTTCCATTCCATTAAACGAGTTTCGAATTTCGCGCGCTACAAAACAAAGTATCGAAAAATTTCCCGCCTTAATTCAAAACAAGGCAAATAAAGTTTGAATAGACATTAAATATTTTACAGACTATCAAAGCGACGATATGTCGACGATCAACCCTGAAATAACGGTGAGAAGACCAGTTTATCAACAGGACGAGCTTAATCACTTGTGTAAATATGCCAAACCGAATGAAGCACGTAAGTATTATGTATAGTCAAAAATCGAAATAAACAGTTCACTTTCTTTTTTAAAAAAATATTTGTTCAATATATATCTTATACATATATTTTGTTTAAAAGAATATTTGTACAGGAAACATTTCATTAAACATTATATGATTTAATATTATGGTAATATTATTATATACTATTATTATATATTATTTAATAATAGTATATCTAATATTTATTACAATAATGAAGAATTTCTTTGATGTTATTGAACAAAATGTCTGTAAAAATGTTTTGATTTTATAAGTTTTAAATTCTATTCAAATTATTTTAAAAAAAAACTTCTCTTAGTTTCATGAAAGTCAACATTGTTTTTATAATTTTTTAAAATAGAATTATATATTTTTTAATACATCAAATATTTCAACTTGAAATTTATTGCATGAAAGACAAAATAATATTCATTTCTTTATGTTTTCCTTATCTTTCATGCAATAAATTTTACAAAATTCAAATTGAAATATTTGATAAATTTGGTAAATCAGTAATTTTTAAACATATATGGATTAATATTTTTTATAGAGAATGAATTAAAATAATAAAAAAAAATATATAATTCCATTTAAAAAGATAAAATTGACTTTCAAATCATTATACATCCATTCACAATAGAATTAATAACACCAGAATGTTTTAATTGAAATATTCTTTGTTATAAATAATAATACTAATGAAAACCAAAATATCAAAATAAAGTGAGACACTCTATAAACAAAAACTATCTAGAAAAAATTTTATAATTATTTTGATAGTGATTTCCAACTGAGTAAATCTAATATATAATAATAACAATAAAACCAAAATATATAATAATTTGTTTGTATTAGATATTACCCATAATTATCCATATTATCTAAACAATAAAATGCGTTTTGTCTAAGAAAAAAGAATGAAAACTAGGAATAAACGTTGTATTAAAGAAAGAAATAATAGTAGAAATTTTTTGTGATTGAATCAGAACGGATTTTTCTTACTCATTGAATAACAGGAAAAAGATTTTTTATAAGATTTTTGTATGAAATTTTAAGTTCTATATTTATAAGTCGTCGATGTTACAGTTTTGAAGAATATCTCGATTAGATGCAAGAAAATGAAGCCGATGAAAATTCTAAAGACTACTATACCTCTTATTGACTGGCTGTCAACGTACAATTGGAAGAATGATATATTAGGTGATATTGTTGCTGGAATTACTGTGGCAGTGATGCATATTCCTCAAGGTAAATATGTTTGTAAAAAGTTTGATTCATCAGTAGAACATGAATGCTTATATATAAGACTTATATAAGACTTAAATATGTAAAAATATAATTATACAAAAGTATTTTAAGTAAAGTACTAATTATAATATTTATCTATGTAAGTTCCACTTGTTTTTAAAGTTGTTTTAAAAATAAATATTTACATAAAAAAGTATTTTCATAATCTAATCATGAATGATATACAAAAAAAAGCACTTGTACAACTGATAAAACAAATATATTTGAATTATAATTTTCCATAAAAGATAATCTATATCATAATATCATAATCATATATCATAATTTGTATCATTGTATCATTATATTGTATCATTGTATGATTATATGATCAGAAATTGTCACAAAAAATGTACAATATGTTCTCGAAATTTGATATCTAAATATTTTAATCATTGGAAAGAATCTGTTCTTTCTTATTAAATATTAATTAATTTATTATTGAATTTAAATATAAAATCTAAAATCAAAATCGATTGAATACTATAGCAGATATAAAAGTCATTGTTTTCTACATCTGACCTGAGGCTATATTAATTATTATGTATATATATATATATATATATATATAAATTTATTTTAATAAAAATAAAAATTAGTTTCAACTTATGCAACAATTGCAAAAGATCTATCTTAATCATGAAAATATATGCTTACGATTATATAAAATATTTGATTAAAACTTTTAATTCTACATTCTTTAATCGATGTAAAATAAAATTAAAATTACAATATTTCTTTTATTAAATTAAATAAATCTTAAATAAATCAATCAATATCTTTATTAATACGAAACTAAAATAGTATATCTGCTTTTTAAATATTTCCACTTTATTTTAATTAATAAATAAGTAAAGTTCTCAAAAGAATTAAAACGTTAAAATTGGTATTATAAGGATTTTAATTACATTGCAGGAATGGCGTATGCAATATTGGGTAACGTGCCACCGATCATTGGTATTTATATGGCATTCTTTCCGGTTCTTGTTTATCTCTTTCTCGGCACCTCAAGGCACAATTCTATGGGTAAGCAAGCATAATTAAATGATTCAACGATTCAAAATAATATTAATAATAATTGTAAATACTTACTACATAATAATGCGCAAGCTTTAGACTTCATTTTTTTCTTTTTTCATGATCTTACAGTCGATGATAGTGTTCATTTTGTGTATCAATTTTTTATATTCAGTAATTTTTCCACAATATAGTAATAATTATAAAAAAATACACTATTTTTATTATTCAAGAATTTTTAAATTATTACAACATTTACTATTTCGATGAAGCTATTTATAGCTATATTTATAGCTATTTTAATTATGTAATTTGTAAATTTACATAATTTATCAAATAAGATTCTTATATTTTCTTTTTTTTTTTTTTTTTTTTTTTTTAGATATCAATAATAGAAGTCTCCAATTTAATAAAGCCGGAAATAATTTTCTCACAGTGAGCAATTCTCATAATTTCATGACGCTTCCTCGCATCCAGTTCCTTCTAACTTTCATTTCAACTTCACTTTCCAACGTTAATTTAAAAAAATTGACACGCAATTCCGCATGGCATCCGACTGATTTTTTATTGTCATAATGCCGCTTCGTGAATTGTTATTATGCATGTCTATTAGCCTAGATAACGGAAGTTTGACTAACAAAGCCAGTCGTATCTCATTGAAATGCATACCTAGAACTCTTTGTTTAATTTATGACTAATTACATATGCCTATTCGAAGATAATTCGCTTAAGTACAAAAATTAGAATAATTTAACATAAATATTATCTTTTTCTACTGTAAAATAATTGTTGATAATTGTTGAAAATATCGGTATACACCAATAATTATTGATGATGCGAAAATAATGATTATTTCTATGTTATAAATTTTTATTGATATTTATGAGTGAATATATAGAAAAAGTAACGCAATAAAAATTTCTTTTAATTTTCTATTTTTTATTTTTTTTTTTTTCTTATTATAACTTTTAATACAGAAAATTTTTTCAATTCAATTCATTACAGACTTGTTGAACTTTTTATATTCTTTTTAACTTCCTGCTTTATTGATTTTGTAATTTTATATATCATCATCAAACTTAATTAAAATCACTACACTTTTAATGTCAAGGTACTTTCGCATTGATATGCATGATGACAGGAAAAGTGGTAGCAACTTACAGCACTCAAGGTCAAATAAACAAAAACTCTACGACAGAGAACGAGTTACTAACCTCAACAAGTAGTCAATATTCTTCCGTGCAAGTTGCCACTGCGGTCACTTTCACCGTGGCCTTGATTCAGGTACAATCATTTCGATCTTCCATACACCTGATCAACCTGAACTTAAACCTAATCGGTAATTATTTATTTTGGATGAATTTTTTTGAACTTTTAGTTGATAATGTATCTGTTGCGATTGGGAGTGATCGCAGCGCTTCTGGCGGACAGTTTGGTGAGTGGATTCATCACTTCTGCAGCAGTTCATGTATTTACGTCACAGCTGAAAGATTTGTTAGGATTAAAGAATATTCCTAGGCGCAAGGGACCTTTCAAATTAATCCTTGTAAGTATTAATCTTTAATATATGTTCTAATTTATAAATGAAATTTAATATAATGATATTTAATATAAGGTATAATAAGGCATATGTATAAAGAGAAAATAGGAAGTTGATTCAAAGTCAAGAGTCAAACAAAATTTATTGAGGAAGATAAAATCATTAAATTAATCGTAACTGATACATCGTTATGACCTTTAGTTAATTGATCAATTGTTTGATTCATCGACAGCTTTATGTACTTTCTCTTTAACGTAATATAGGAAGTTAAACGAATTAAGTAACGAGAAATACGAACAACTTTTTGTACGTATATTAAATATGTATATTAAAGTTAAAATTACAAAATTATTCCATTTTTCAAATTTTAAATATTTCCAAATATACCTAACTCGATTAATGTTTCTTAAATCGATTCCTAAAAAGTGCTTAAATCTTTTTAAAAAAACAGGATTAAATTTTATTTAAAAAAAAATGATTTTATTAAACTTTATTTTCAATGAGTAATCACATAATAAATTTTAATATTTGTTAAATTATAAATATCTTCAATACTTTTTAATATTTTAGTTCACAATTTTTTTTTTTAAATAATTGATATTAAACACATCATAACAGTAATCATAATTTAGATTAGATATTTCTCCAATTAGTCTCTAATTAGATTAAATGTCAATTTTTTTAATTTTGTTTTAATTTCATATTATTTATATATATCTCTATCAGTACACCGTTCACGAAAGAGTCGATTAAAATTTTTCCATCCGATAACACCGTTTGTAGTCACTATGATAGTCAAACAACTTCTTTTATTTTTTTATCACCATAATGACTGTGTGTTCTGTATACATAGTAATTATATCGTATTATCAAGTATCGTTTTAATATGATGAAAAAAATATAGATATTTTATTATGAATTTTTAGAAGAATATTGATATGTTTCAAAGTAAGTTTTGTAAAACGCGTTGGATAACATTTAATTTATTATTAAACAAAAATCTCAAAAGGATTAAATAGATTATATAATTTAATATAATTTTATATAATATAAATACACATGAACACATATGTATTATTGATGTTTGATATTTTGGTAAATTTATTATAATAATAATAATAGTAATATGTGAATTTAAATAAAGATTAATAACTGAGAGAAAAGTTTGTCATATAGTAAAAACTTGTAGTAAAATATTAATTTATTAATAACTATTAAATTTAATGATACGTAATTATATGTTACAACATATATAATAAAAAAGAAAAGAGAAATCTTGGTGGCTTTTAAAAACTGAAGGATGAAATGTTCATATCCTTGGTACAATTTTCCATGAAAATATTTTTCATTTCCTGCATAAAAACAATCAAGAACTACAAGAATTCTCTGTCGGATATTTGAAAACTTGTTTTTCCATTTCAATATTCCAACTGTTGGAAAGTCAGTGGAGAAATTTCGTTTGGTATTTCATATATTTGGTGTCTGTAATAGTTTCTTGTCATTATTCATTTGCCGATCGAAAGATAAGAAATAAAAATCGAATTCCGTGAAATAAATATGGAACAAATAGGAAATGACAAATGTACACGCACAACATTCTATGTCTTTTTTATGCGAAACGAAACGATAGTCAGTAACGATCGTTATTTTTTAATTCTCTAGAAAAGCAAACCGGAAATGTTACTGATTTATTCCTAAGTTTTCGAAAAAAAAAAAAAATGAGAAATTAGAAATTAGAATTCTGATATAATTATCTGTTACCTTATCAAAAAAAAATTATGTAATAGTAATTAAACATGTCTGAAAGCAATAAAAAATTTCAAATAAAGACATCTAAAGTTATGTATTAAACTTATTTATTATAATCAAAGTTTATCAAGTAAAAGATAGTGAAATGAATACGAGGACAAAATTTCAGATGAATGTAAAATAAGGTGAAATATTTTGCATATTTTGTCAAAATAACGTTTATTTTTTATTATTTCTGAGCAAATTTTGAGCATTTTATTTATTAATTTTTCCTTATCCAAAATAAATTGTGCGTATCAATAAATATTTATTAAATATAAACCATTATTTTTATAATATTTACAAAAGATATTTTATTTCGTGCAAAAATATTACTGTTTCCAAACTTCTGAACAATGTAAATATAATTGATTATAATTTTATTATTTTATTAATAATAATCGAGAAATTTAACAGTTTTTTACTTAGCAAACTCGACATTACGTAAATTGTAGAGAAAGCGTTTTAATAAAATCGAAGACCTTCGTAATTTTTTTGACTCGTTAATCAATTTGATAAAAAATTATTCGCAAGGTTTTCCGTTATCGTAATTCCGCAGTTTTTCAAAATAAAATATGTTATTTTTAACCACTTAGATGTTTCTTTAACGATTGCAAACAATAAGCAAAAAATAATATTATTATATTTAATAGCACTTTCACTGATTGCACTTACATAAAGGGTTTGAACTTTTAAAACATATAACAATGAATAATATCACTTATATAATCTTTCATTTGTTTTCACACGTGTAGGTACATAAGTTTTGTTTTAAAAGCTCTAAGAAATTACAGCACGTAAATGTAATATTGAATTTCGAATGTCCAAATTTGAAATTAATGTTGATATTTAAATTTAAGTTGAAAAAATAATATTTTATAGCATATAAGCAGTTGTTAAATATCGTTTCAGAGTTACGTGGATTTGCTCAACAACTTTCCATCCATCAATGGGATCGCTTTCTTGGTGTCTTGCGCCACCATTTTGATTCTCATCGTCAACAATGCCTTCAAGGTCATTTTAAAATATTTCCCTAAAAAAAAAAAAAAAAAAAAAAAAAATAAAAGCATCTTTTATTACACATTGAAAAAGTTAGACTTTCTTTACGCAAACTAAAATGCCTTTCAACTTTGAAATGGAATAATTAAATATTAATTTTTATAATTATAAATTTTACAGCCAAGATTCGCAAAACTCAGCCCCTTCCCAATCCCCATAGAAATGCTGGTAGTCGTTATAGGCACAGTCCTCTCCGTCTACCTGAATCTTGCAGACGTTTATGGAATTGCAGTAGTTGGCGACATACCAGTTGGGTAATTAAGTTTCTCGAAACTGTTTTATTGTTCATTTTTGTATCACGTTACATTGAAACGTCCTCGAGCTAACTTTCTCTTCAATTTTTTTTTTTTTTGTTTTCAGTTTACCAGTTCCAACCTTGCCACCATTATCCTTAGTGCCGAACATTCTGATAGACAGCTTTGTGATCACCATGGTATCTTACACCATATCCATGTCCATGGCGCTCATTTTCGCGCAGAAGTTGAGCTATGAAGTGGACTCGAATCAGGAACTAATGGCACAGGTCAATATCATAATTTCAATTTAAATTTTTATACCTTTAATAGAATTTAAACCTTTAAATTAAAATGTTAAAATTAGAATTAGAGTTTTAGAATTCATGAGAAGAAGTAATATTCAGAGCTTAATCGATTGGTTTAGTTTCGACTATTCGAAGAAATTAAATTCAAATTAATTTCAAATATATCGTATAGTTTAAAATACGAAACAATATGATGCATTTGTTGAATTACAATCAACAGGAAGGAATTAAATAATTCAAGTCCACAGATTCATTTTTATTCATCAAAGTCGACCCTCTTTGATCCACGAAAGTTGGCATTTTATAATTAACGTAGTAAGACAATCAATGTCACGGTCGGTGTCAAAGAAAATGCAAACTCATTTAAAATAAGAATAAATAAATTATTCTTATTAACTATTTATTCTCAATCACTTCTAGGGAATTGGAAATCTAGTTGGATCCTTCTTCTCTTGCATGCCATTCACAGCTTCGCTCTCTAGATCCCTGATTCAGCAAACTGTCGGTGGACGAACTCAACTGGCTAGCTTGATATCCTGTGGTATCCTGGTTAGCGTTTTACTGTGGATCGGCCCCTTCTTCGAGCCTCTTCCACGGGTAACTCATTAATTAAATTAAAATTTAACTGTTCAAACAAATGAAAATTTCATAAAATAGAAAGAAAATCATGAAACACTATGGATCTCTGTTTCTCAACTTTTTAAATGGTAAAATTAGACACTTGTACGTTTTACATATATATATATATATATATATAATACATGAATATATTTCAAGCAATTCAATAATATATTAAAATATTTATTATCTTCTTCAATTCAGTGCGTTCTAGCCAGCATCATCGTGGTGGCTCTAAAGGGGATGCTGATGAAGGTGACAGAGTTCAAAAGATTCTGGAAGCTGGACAAGATTGACGGGATCATTTGGGCCGTGACATTCACGACAGTGATCCTGTTGGACGTGGAGTACGGCCTCCTGATCGGGATCGTGTTCTGCGTTGGCAAATTGATCTTCTTCTCCGTTCACCCTTACACCTGTTCGCTCGCTCTAGTGCCTGGTACCGAGCTTTATCTGGATACCAACAGATATAAAGGCGTACGGAACAATGATAGTCTATCTTTTTTTCTTGTTCTTCTGTTTATTATATCCATTTCATCATGGGTTGAAGTGAGAAATCAATATCAGACAGCAAAGAGAATTTATTTCGATTCCTTTTCTCGAGATGGATAATACGCAGGCCGAATTTCGATTGGATACGGCTAATACGGAAGTCGTATTTTATTTTATAGACCGTCGAGTTGCCGGGCATAAGGATATTCCATTACTCGGGTAGTTTGAATTTCGCTTGCCGACAGCACTTCCGCGACGAAGTGTACAAAGTTGCCGGCCAAGTACCAAGAAAAGAGCCGAATGGAGGCTTTAAGCACGATCAATTGAAGGAAGTTAAGAAGGTAAGAGGTATCCTGATAATATTTTATTTTATTATTGTATTGAAAATATTGTATAACTTTTGATATGTAATGTTCTTAATTCTGTGATATTATGTTTTTATGGAATCGTTTAATTCTTTATTTCTTTTTTTTTTTTTCTTTTTTTATTGCAGAGTAAGTAGATTTTATACAGGATATTATATTAATCAATTATCTATCTATTATTATTTCCATATTTATTGGTTTTTTAAATATATGATCCATGAAATATTAGGGGATTCACATATCTTTCTAGTAAAAGTAATAAAATTTAATTCACGTGTCATAAATGATAAATATAATAAAATCATAAGTCATTAAGCTTTAGTGTTTTTGAACAAAGTATGCAAAAGAATTTTCTCAATGCTAATTTATATTAAAAACAAATTTAAGCTTGATAATATCAAATTTTTTTTGGAGTGTGTAAAACTCTGTAAAACATCATTTATGTAACAAAACTCAGATAAAGTTTTAAATCTTTAATTAGCAATCTAATCTTTTTTAAGCACGACAATAAGAGTAACTAAAAATTTTTTAAAAATAAATATAAGAAAAATCAAATGTCATTATCTTGAGGGTGCATTAAAATAGAAATCTAATGCAAAAGAAGTCAAGATCAAAATAAAGAAATTTTTTAAATCGACAAAAAGGGAATAATCATGATCGTTAATATTCATATTGTATAATCTAGAAACCACAAAATTACTAATCTACTTCCAACGAAAATTAATTTCCTTGTGTCACAGTTGAGGGCCCTAATACTGGATCTTAGCGCTCTCAGTCACATAGATCTGGCAGGTGCATCTAGCCTAGGACATCTGATCAACGAATACTGTGAAATTGATATACCCGTCTACGTGGCAGGATGTTCTGGTAAGTAAAAGTGAAACTTCGTAACCAGAGCTGGAGAAAATTTGAAATAGATTATAAGAAATATTGAATAGAAAATATTGATAGAGAAACGAAATATTTCTATAAATAAATATTATTTTATTTCATATTTGAATCATCTATTATTTACATTCAGATTGAATGTGATATATTTTAATTTATTCTATATTCTATAATGATTAAATAAATTTCAATATTTTACCGCAATGAATATGTAAAATTTAAAATAAAATAAAATTATGATAATGGAAATATGAATTTACATAAAAATCTATAATCTGATAATATTATATAATAATGTTAAAATTAAAGACTATTTATTTAAAGTACTATACTTTTCTTATGTTTCAATAAGATGAATCGCTATTAAAATATAATATTATTTGAAATATTACTACTATCTCAAAAAAAAAAAAGTTTAATTCGTAAAATAATAAAATCCAATGAAACTCGAAGAAATATTTATTTCTCGAATTTATTTCAAAAATCTATTTTCCCCGGTTCCATAACCGAACCGGAAAACGGTTCTCGATCGATAATGTGTATTCCGGAATTATGTTTTGAACATAGGACCTGTATACGAGATGATGAGAAAGTGCAACCTGTTAGAATACAAAAGCGGCCTGTTCGCCGCCTTCCCCACCGTAGCTGACGCTGTGCATTTTGCAAAATGTAACACCGAGTCGTCGTCCATGCCAGCATGGAGCTCTTCAATGTACGAGGATACTGTTGTCGCAAGGCTTTGATTGGGAATACTAATCGCGATTGTATGCGACAAATTTCATTCATGGTTCCCAGGGAAAAACTACTCAATTAACAAGTTTGATTGAGAATTTCCATTGTCTTGTTTCTAAGCATTTGGGCTGATAGATCGAGGAGAATTGTATTTTTTCGAAAAAGGAAAAGAGAGACTTTAGGAAGACTTGCTCAAGAAAGAATATTGTCAAGATTACATGTGTTCATCGATCAATTAAGGATCTTATTAAAAGTGTCAATTAAAATAAAAAGAAAGCGGAAAATAAAGCAATGCAATGTTTGAGATATAGTATAGTAATGTTTGAGATGAATAGATAATTGTAGATAATAATAATATAATTAAGAAAAAGGAATGTTTCAACGCAATATTCCAATAGAAATTTCTGACATTAAATAATTAGTTGAAGAATAAATAAATTTATTTTTAAACGAAATGTTTAGTTATAAGAAATTTTATGTATAAAGAAATATCAGAATTTAAAAATATAATATCGATACGAATGATATTTCAGTATTTTTGCAATAATATAAATATGTTTTAAGAGAATATTTTATATTTCATAAGATGAATGAAATAAATAATATTTATAAAATTATATATGTTCCATAGAAATTTTTATAAAATCTAAAATTCATATGTATATAAAATTATAATTAATATTTTTAATTCAAAATAAATATTTTGTGTTTATTTATAATATCATAATATATTCTTCTCTATTTTTTATTTTTAAATTCATCGTCATTCGCGCCCCCGATAAAACGTAAAAGCGCCTGCGCATGTAACGTCACGTTCGCGCTACGTATAATCCACGTCTAAACAAAAATTTATTTAGCAACCGGCAAGTCAATTTAATTAGTTATAATGAGTTCTTGGATACAATATATCAAATCTATTCCAACGCATATGGTAAGTATATAAATTAATCCTAATATTATTAATAAAAAACTAACCTAACATATTTTAAAAGAACATTTAATTGGTAATAGGTTATGTTTTTTTACTGTAACAGGTGTTTCTATGTATTTATATATATATTTATACGTACAAACGTTTTGTAAAAAATATATTTTTTTTTGCAGGACTATGATGGCCAAGCTCGATCAGAAAGTTTGTCAAGAGTCATTATAACATTATTTGGGGTAACATTATACTTCAAACATGTTCATGTTTATTGTAGGCTTTTGGAATGTTTAATCTAATATTTAATATCTGTCTTTGTTTTTAGGTGGTTGGATTAATTTGGGGATATGTTATTCAGCAATTTTCGCAAACAATGTACATATTAGGAGCAGGATTTGTATTGGCAGCTATAATTACAGTACCACCATGGCCTATGTATCGCCGTAAACCTTTAGATTGGCAAAAACCACAATCTGAGGTTACAGTTAAACAGAAAAAGAAGAAATAGTTTTCTATTATTTATAACTATATTTAACAATACTTTGTTATAAAGTGTTACATAATAATATTTGTTGGTGCGAAACATATACATATTTATATCTTATTATTTTTCATGGAAAAACATGTAATAACTATAATTGTATAATTTATGAAAAAGAACTGCAATAAGAAATATTATTTCTTATATATATATATCTTTTATGAATGTATCACTTACTTTTATGAATTATATTAATATCTGTGAGATTTTAAAAAATATTACAAAATAGATTTTTAATCGTTTAATGTTCGTGCCAAATTAATATTCGATTTTTGAAAATGAGAATTAAAATAAAATAGTATATATTTACATTACAAAGAATCATATTAACATTTCGTAATCTCAACGCATCGATTTTTTCATTCCATTGCAATACTGTCGTAACATGGCGACGCCCTTGAGACATTTTAGAATCTTGTTTCGAATTCCGCGCAAGCAGAAACGCGGATAGATTTATACATGCATGTGATCAGTAAACAATTTCTCCTTTAGAATTGTTACAGCAATCAATGACTAAATATTGCATGCCATTGCAAAACTAGAAATGCGTTTTCTAAATGTACAATGACATATGACTGTCACCATATAAAAATTGACACTTACTAATTAGTAATTAGTTTCCATCTAATCGATTAGCGATAGGATCTTTAGCACGAACTACTATGTTAATTCTAACTGCAATTTTTTTCTATACTAATGATACACGAATTGAATGAATGGAATGTAATGAAGCGTAAAGGAATTTAAGGATAAAATTCATTTAAAATTTCAGATTTTTAATTCATTTTTTGATTATAAATAAATTATGAAATTTCACGTATTTTTAAATATAATTGATTCTTTAAATTATCATTTTGTTGATATAATATAGTTCATATAATTAATTTTATATTAATTTTAAAACTAAAATTTATATTCGAAAGCTATAAAATTTACACTTGAAAGCTATAATAGAAAATTATATACGAATATTATATAAAATTATATTATATAACATATGTGCACATTATATCCATAAAATATTGAAATATAAACTATTGAAATTATTATTATCATTATATCATTACGAAAATGTTACGATTAGTTCTTTTTAATTTTAATAACCTAAATAATCTATTTATCTCTTTTTTGAAAAAGAAAAATATTAATATTTATCTTTTTTTATATAAAAATAACTTTTTATTTAAACTGAATTATCATTTATACACGAAAGAGGTTAGAATTATGAAATTTTATTTTTAGTATCCACTAATAGCACTGTCTTTTATTTTCACTTGTAAAATATTGATCATTTCAACAATGATATATAAATTTTTAAAATTAATATTATTTATATCGATTAATTATCACATTAAATTTTACTCATAACAGTTTTTATAAATTTCATCGATATTATAGACTTTTTAATGTAAAATTATGTTATATTATTGTATTATTTATAACTAATATATAATTATATTTTATTATCTAAAACCAACTGTTCATACTATCAAATTATATGTATCTCTAGTATGAATAAATATTACAGTTTAACGAACTCATCAATCGGATCACTGACATAAAAATTTGGTTACTCCATATGTACTATGATGTAACAATATTCCAATATCGTTGGAAAGTAAAGTTCATTGCGAAACACAAAGATAAATGTATATATCTTGTTGGGATGTATAAAATATCGGATTTCCCTTCCGCCTCGGAACCATGAATTATATAATACGCAATATCCAAAAAGAAAGGAGTCTCATAATAAGGTTGATTCGATCCGAGCCGATTGCTTTTAATTCCAGTTCCAATAATAACAATTAACAAGCTGTTTATGATTATGTCGCATACCACATACCACGTATTGGATCAGTTCCAACATTTGACTTTCATTGGACACGTTTCTCATTTTCTCTCGTCGCACACTAACCAAAACATATTTCCCTCAAAATCGATCAGACGACATGACTTTCACGAGACAGAAGAGACGTTTTGAGACGGTGGGGATGATTGCAGCCGATACTTATGTAAATGATCAGACAATCGAAAATACAAAATATGCTGCAACACACCCGTTACCATTTTCTTTCTTTTCGTCTTTCTCCATTCGTACTGTAATTCTGTTCCTTTCATTCGTCATCATTCGTCAACGTGTCTTATCCTGTTTTTGTCTATGCCATGAAGTATGAAATACAATGTTATGCAACGAAGAGGATTTCGTTGCAAATCTATTGCAAATGAACCTTTTTTTTATCGACACGTGCAATGAGCCAAAACGAGAAATCAAGAAATATTTTAAGAAATGAAAAATTCTTGTAATATACAATATTATGCAAAAATCTTGAGCTATTTACCAAACAGAAATAGTTTATCCATATTGAACGAATATAATAAATATATAATTAGGAATTAATAATTATTTTAAAAGAATATTAATTAATATATAAATAATTTTTTATGATTTTTTTTTAGAAAAGTAATTTTAAAAGTAAAAATTTATAATGAATTTTTATATTTTCTATTATATCTTATTTTTAATATAAAGTTCTTTCTTTTCTTTTCACTTTTCATGTTCTTTTTAGTGTTTAGTTGTATACAGTTATCATAATATTATTATTATATTCTTATTACAATTATCTGCAGGATATCTTTAATAAAATAATAAATGGGAACATTTTTCGAATATTTTTAAACTAGAACATTTTGTATATACATATACACATATTAAAGATGCAGGCGAAACTTTCATAAAGTAACATAATTTCGTTTCCTTTGTTTCAGATCATTTTTGTACATATATTCAAAGTGTTCTTACGCAATCGAGGTGAGTCTGACTGGACCTTCTTAAAATCACCAGAATCATCTTCCTCCTCATACCTTGCCTTTTAGTTGCATCCAATTCGATATGCCTTGAGTACTTGAGGTTACGAAACACTTTCTCCCTGTATGATGGTTATTTTAAGTATGCGGACTGCACCACTTCCTGTAACACTGGCCGACAGTATACGCACAAAAAAAAGAAAGATGTAATTCACATTACACTAGCACGGACCGTGCTCTCTCGATCGTTACCTTGCTCTTAACACTGACTCCTTTCGCAAAATTCACGGAGCCGCCTCGATTGACTAGAAAGCGAGTCAATCGTTCTAATGTATAACACCGGAAATCCAGGCGGAATCTGAACCAAGGAATTACATATTTTCCTATTATTACATTTTTATTTTTCTTTGCATTTTTTGCGATAAAATTTTTTTTTAAATCAAATGTAATAGACGATAATTGTATTTTTCACAAGTTTAATATTTGTCAATAAAAATTAAAAGTGAGTATGTATCATAAAATAATAATTGTAAATTGTTTTTGAAATATATATTTCAAAGTGCTCATTTTTGACACTCGTTGTAAATATAATAAACATATAATTATGTTGAATATAATAATGAATATAATTGAAGATAATTAATGAATTTGTCAAAATCGTGATTTTCCACCTGGATTGGTGACGATGATTCAATGTTTTGATCAAGCTGACACAAATTTCTTCTTAAACAATTACTAGATATTTTAAAAATTTCATTGAAAATACCTATCTCATTAAATGAAACGCCACAGAGAAACTAGATTAGTGAAATTAGAATGTCGCAATTAATTTTGTATACTTACAGGAAGTTGTATTTAATTTCCATATATGCGTTTTAATTAACATGACGAAGTGAATTAAGAAAAAAAAAAAAAAAAAGAAAATCCACGATTCTGATCTGTTTCACATTGGATCAATTCGCGAAGAAAAATAGGAATTTTTCTAAATGTCTCGTTTAAATGCGTTTATCGTTATTAGATATCGACTCGGGAACGGGAAAAGATAAATCGAATTATCGACCGGAAGAGGGAAGTTTCGCAACTTTATAACGAGAGAAACGAAATAAAGTCTTACTCTACAATTTTCTTTGCCATTTTAACGCTAGACGTTGTTTGCAAAAGGATGGAAGACAATTTGATGACAATGCCCGTTATTATAATATTTCCTTGTTCCACTTTGAACAAGTTCCAACCGACTGACATTGGATTCGTGACACAATAATTAACGAACAATAAGCAAATGTACAATTTTTTTTCTTGCTACGTTGATATTAGAACGATCAAAATGATGGATTTCATATTTTTCGTAAAAATCGTTAATTTTTTGACAAATTAATATTGCAATTTATCGAAATGTGATATATATATATATATATTATTATCTCCATCATTTCACTTTAATTATTTACACACGAACGCTTGCTTCGCATTGATTGAATAAATGAAGTTATTTTGACAGATTATACGAATTTCTCTTAATGGTAAAAAAAAAAAAAAAAAGGAGAAGTTATTATTAGATATGTTAATAAGGAGTATAGAAAGTGTTGTTGCTTAATAATTTAATGGAAGTTAATGGAAGATATCTTAGATGCTCAATGAAAAGAAACAAAAGTGAAAAAAGGTTCATAAGATTCTGATTTAGGATCTAGGAAATTTTTCGATCAATTATTAATGGATTCGTTTAATAATTTATTTTCGACGTGAACGAAAGCATGCAGATTTCTCTATTGAATTATTAATTTCATTCACAAACAATTAATTTTCTATCAAATTATATTATTTAATCTTATATCTATGATTTTTTTTAAATTAAAAATCATTTTTATTATTTCTCCTCCGAATATAAATCAATACAATTTGTAAAATATGCAGTATCTGATATTTAATTGATTATTTATTCGTTTATTTATTTAGATTAATATACGATAAAAGTTGTATTAATTCGTACATCTTTTGAGTGAAAACGATCACGTAATGAAAAATTCTACCGGTGTCTTCAATCTGTTACGTGGCACAGAATGATATATTCCAAGATCGACTGTAAAAGCAAAATTTACAGGCAGCGTTTATGCAACGCGTTTGCTTATCTATGGCATTAAGAACTCGATTTATGCGAATCTTACGAAAGTTGATCTGTTGCGTTTTCTAAAATTCGATGTATCAAAGTTTCATTTCAGTCAATATTCTTTCATAGTTCTGTTTCATTAGAGTAATTCTTTCAAAGACACAATTTAATTTTCCAAAATTTGATATTGTATAAGGCCAAGTGTTTAAGATGTTTTGGTTATTTAATTTTCTTAATAAAAATTATGGAGTTGTGGTATATAATAAGAATAATTTATAAATGATTAATACTTTACGAATATTATACGAATTTTTCTCTATTTATTGCAATATTGTGAATCAACAACTAAAAAAAAATCAAAAAAGAATTTGTTTTGTTTGAAACTAAATATCGTAATGAGCACTTTTATATGCATTTTTAAATAATATCATATTAATTTAATAATATTTCTGCATTATTTATCACTATTTCGATTTTTTTAAATCTTCTTTTTGGAATTTTGTATCAATTTTGATACTATAAAACTATCCTAAAATTTTCGCACACTGCCACCATAATATAAGACACTTAACATTCGTAACACTACTCGCACAATATCAAATTTTATCAAGAAGAAAATCATCTTAAACTTCTTCTCATTGTCCTCCCCGTTAAACACTTTTCATTCCGATGATAAGAAACTTTCAC